GCAAGATCCTGAGCTCCTCGGAGGATGAAAACAGCCAAGTTCATCAGGAACACCAGCATGACAAACTCCTCCAACAAAACCAACAGCTCCATACAGCTTCTCCCAGCTCCCAAAAGCTTTCATTCAGCACCCAGCAGCCTAACTTCTTCTCCAGTTTTGCCTCTTGTGCTGCTGGCAACAATCCCCAGGTGGGCCTCCCTCACCCAGCACCAGGCTTACTCAGTTCAGCTGGCGATTATGAGTTGACCACCAGTTGTCAATCCACTACAACACTCAACTTTTAAAATACAACATAACAGTAGCTGAGAGCTCCAAAAAAAAATGCTCCAGAGCAATGTTAACATGGGCAGTTCTGTTTTACTTCTCACTTTCATGGATCCATCATTTAAATGTGATGCCTGATCTAATTTTCTTTATCCAGTTAAACAAGATCTCTTTTAGTACTTATAGAATTAAAAAATAAAATTTTCAATAATACTTTAAGAAGTCAGCTGTATAATAAGAAGTAAAAAATGATAATCGCTTTTGGGTAAATCTCCCAATGTTTAATAACAATTCCTGATAATTGTGCTTTTTTTATGAGGCAGATAGGGTACTTAACATTTTGAATACTTTATTCTTGTCAAAGCCCTTGTACAAGATGGAGTATTTTTCACCATTTTACAAATGAGAAAATCTCTGCTCAAAGGCACAAGTAATTTATCATAGATCACAAAATCTAATAAGTAATTAAGCAGGGATTTATACCCACTATATCTATCTCCACAACCCATACTCCTCCCACTTCCTTACATTTTTAATTCAGTGATTGATTAAAATTAAACCGAGCCTTTCAAAATGTCCTAGTAGAAAAGATAACAAATGTGCACAGGGTTTATGGCTAATTGATAACTATGCCCAAAGAATATCTTTCTGAAGGGGATTTCAAAGTAAAAAGCCATGGAGATTTGTTTCTGTCACAGATAGATATACCTTTAAAGTTAATGTTTATATCCAGGCAAAGAAAGCAAAGGCACAGATAGCCAAATTGAGCAGGTCAGTTAACCTAACGGATTACAGAAGAGAGATCCCAAAATATCTAAAGAGCTGGACCATAACTAGCAAGAAAAATTTAAAACGCTTAGAAACACAGTGGGATGAAGGATCTGTGCTAGCAGGCTGAGGGATCTACACTGGAGCAGGGAAGTGATGCTCAAAGTAAGAACCAGAGCTCCCCTGAAAGGTACCACAGCCATGGTACCTTGGGTTCAAACAAAATCAAACGTTTACAAATAAGATCTGAATAATCACAGTCCCTGTGACAAAGATCCAAGGTATTTAAGTTAAAAGCTAACTTGGTGTAACATAGTTGCCAAGTCTGTGCCATACGATTTCAATACGTATGAATATCACTGCTATTGACCATGGGAAGCGGTCAATAAAACCAGCTCTCCATATCTGGAAATACATATTGAGTTCTAGCAATTGCATCTTAGCTGGCCATGATCTACCGAAATGCCAGTCACAGATATCTATTTTATCAACTCCAGGATGGAGAATGTATCTGAGGGGTTAGATGATTAGATAACTCAGGAGCAGGGAATCCACACAATGATGTACACTTCATAGCTCAGTCTCATAGAGTTGGAAGTGACTGTCATACTTTTGGTGCAATCTGAGAGTTCCCGTCTGTACTTACCGCCACTCCAGTCTTATAGAGGAGGTAATGCACAGTCTGTGTGACGTCAGCAGCATGCATTAAATTATGATAAGGATTTTTATGTTTGCTGTATCCCACTTCCAGCGCCTCCACAAATGAGACAAGTGCAGAAATGGGGATCTGAAAGAGAGCAGCCAACTTAACTGTTGCTTTCAAAAAAGAAGTAAAAGTCTGAGGCACCCCAACTGCTCCTTTCTGGAGGCATAAAATGTCAAGGAAGGAAATTACAACTTTTCATAGTTTTTATTTACATGTAAAACAGTGACTTTGGTGCACATGTAGAAAACTGAGTTATTGGTTCTCTGATGTCCTCGTCTACCCTGACTCTATAATCCCAAAGGCAAAGGGGAAGCTGCACAGGACACCAGGCAGTGTTCTCTATCAATACTGATTCTCTCTCAATACTGATTGATAGAGAAGTAACTAGTTATTAGTTCCAGTTAGTGAAATTGTTCACTCTTTATAGCATAAACACCAGTGTAGTGAGACCTTCCAGACTGCAGTTTAACAATAATATACTGACAAATAATAAACATAAGAACATAGCCTATTCCTCTTCCCGTATGTAACAGACTATCACACCTTGCTTTGGGTTTTGGTTTTGGCTTTTGATGCCTGTTCTTTGCTCTTCCTCCTACTCCACTCCAGCCCCATGTCTAATACATACAATCAAGACCCGGTCTGCAGAAAGCCAGTATTTCCTCTGATACTGGTGGCAGCTTGTGTCTGTTTTGTAATAATTCTACAATTCAAGAGTCTTGTGCAGTTTGTTTTCCCATAAATAAAGGAGATGTGTGGCACGTATATATTAATTTATTTTTCAAAATATAGAAGACCTGAGTCTTTGCTTAGAACCACCATTAACTCAGGATAATTGTTCCAAATTTCTTACTTGCTATGCCATCTTAGATATGGGTAATAGACTTTGTTTCCTTTTCTACGTGGCAAAAAGTTATGTATTACTGTGAGATGTGTGCCCAAAATAAGTAGATCCAAGAAAATTCACTGTCACTGTACTAGATCTCAAACTGTGTCACTGCACTGTTTACAATAAAGTAGGGGACTTTTGAAACTAGAAGGTGTATATTCTGGAGACTACCACATTAGAAAGAAAAACTTAGGAAAATGCTATTTCAACACATCTGAGATTCCATAATCTAGTCTTTCTTTGTGCGTTCTTCCACGCTTACCATTTGTGGAATTCTAAAACTTTAAATTTGGCTTTTAAGAGATGAACTCATTATCAATTTTAGAAGTGAAGATCCTAGCTAGACATGATGGCACACACTTCATCATCTCAGCACTCTGGGAGGCTGAGGCAGGAGTCTTGCAGGTTTGAGCCTAGGCTGGGCAATTTAAGGAGTATACTAAGTTTAATAATAAGTTACAAAATAATTATAAAAAGGGATAGGGATGTAGTTTAGTGCAAAGTTCCCAGGATCAATCTCCAACACTCAAAAAAAAAAGAAAAAAGAGGAGCCTGAGGCTGTTGAGTTGTCCTTTGAAGATGGATGAGCCAGTGCAAAGCTAGGCAAAAGTATTTGTATGTGCATAGGATCTTTTCCTCCTTAAGGAAAGGATCTCCAGCAGCCTCCAGCCTTTCATGCAGGTTTCTGACACAAAACAAATGAAGGACCTAAGGGCCACTGCTCTAAAGTATTTATGGGTGTGAAAGAAACACACCCTCCAATATGCGGCCCTTAGGATAGTGATAAAGAACTGTGCTATCCAGAGATATCAGTGTGTTACACAGAAAACGATGGCATTTTCCAGAGGCTCATTTTGCAGAAAGCCTGAGAAGCTCAGCTGGTGAGATGCTGGCCCATGAATACACAGGTTCCCTTGAGGACCTGGCCTGACCTCAGGAGCCCAGGATATGCAACAGCTGAACACCGGAGACACTTCATGCTCTTTATTTAAAGTGAGGAATTAATTTGAAGCATGAGGGGCTGGGAAATACCAATGGTCTGTCACTGTTGATAAGTGAGAGTATTTGTCTGAATGAGCCAATGGCTGGGAAAGAAGTTTACAGAGGCACAGAGGCTCACTTTATCTCCATTACCACCTCTCTGACAGCAGTAGTCGATAGTACACACTGTGATGCTGAAATGAGATCTGTGGGCAGTGCCCACAAGGAAGCACAGTCACCGCAGGCTTTGCGCTGTAATTCCAGGAAGACTGAGATCCAAATGGGCTTCTCCAGTCTCCTTGCCAATGAGACACCCCTGCCACAGTGTGAATGGAAGCAACAAGAAAGAATGCACAGCAGTAGCAGAGCCAGAAGGGTGCTTCCGGAGTTACCCAGAGCAGTTTTTGGTTGACATAAAAGGACCGGACCAAGGCTCTTTGCACTGGGATTCTCAAACCTGGTATGGTAGTGCACATTGGAAATCCCTGCACTCTGGGAGGATGAGGTATGAGGACTGCAAGTTTGAGCC